GACAACGTATGGGGATGAACTCTTTTAGAGTTCTTCTAGTCTCATCGAGTTCTACTTATGGACAAAATATGAACCCAATCGGTGATTAACACTTGGGATAGTTCCCTCGTAAGTCATAGCTCTATAGCGCTTGTCACTTTTCTACTTGTCTACGACACTTCTATGCTGAGCAGCTTTCTTCATACATTATGCTAAAACTAACGAAGTTCCAGATCTTTATGTCCTTTGGTTGCCACGATGTGTGACGCTGGATACCTATGTCTATTTTTTCAATTATGTATGATGATGCCATATGTCTTTTTCAAACAATGTTGAGAAACTAGTTCAGACAGAATACTTGGAAAAAGGAGACAAAGATAGACCCATGAACAATCAAAGCTTTTCTAGTTTCCAATCCAACCTGACAAGGACGTCACTGAGTTTTGTTGCACGACGAATAAATTGTTCGATCGCTTGCCAATGGTCCAATATTTATTTGCTTTGTGTGAAAATTACCATAATATTTGTTATAAGCCGGAACTTCTTGACTTCCTGCTGCAGTTGAGCCGATGTATTCTGATAAGTGATTGACAATAAAGATATCGAGCACAGCACACGACTGTTCGGTGGTTCTATTTAATGAACACTTATGAGCGAGTATTTTACACCAAATAAGATCAAGTCCCCATCCTAGTCCCACAAAAGCGCTCAAATAATGCCAGAGGCATTCCCATGCTGCTGAACTTCCGATGAAAATGGGACCGATTTCAACAAAATCTGTCCATCGACCGATTTTGCTAATAAAAGCTTCGTTTACACGTGTAATTGAATGAGAAGCAATGCCTTTTAATCGACCTGGGGCCGATAGACTAATATTTAGTTGTGTAATAACGCACTCATAATGCAACGGATCAAATAATAATTCTACGTCATCATCGAGAACCCAAATGTAGTTGTATGCTTTCAAAACTGGTGGTGTTAGGAAACGTTTCAAATACCAGAATCGCTTTTGAGCGTTGACATGTATCCAAATTAGTCGTTCGTTATTGGGGAAAGATGACCAACTCGAATTATCGTGTACCATAATGACATGAGTAAAATGATTTTCAGGAAATATTTTTAATATATTTTTTACTAACCATTTATCGCGTGAACTCTCACGCCAGAATGACACTAGTAAGCTTTTCTTTGTTGTGTAACAGCGCGATCGATTTATCAAATTGCAGTCAGTATCTCCTTCGAATGATATGCCCATGTTTAAGTATCGATGGAAATATAATGTTTCATTAATGCCAAGAACCTGTATCGTCTTAGACAGGAATTTTGCATAGGGATCTTCCTTAACATCAGATATGAAATAACCCGCAAACATAAATACAATAGCCATTATAATACATACAATTAGCAACGTTTTCTTGCTCAACACTAATAGTGATTGTATTATCGTTTGAGCGGTAACGATGTACTTTCTAATTTTTGTTAACATAAGATCTTTATCAGAGACGAATAGATTCGAACGCATGAAAACATTAATACACGTTTGTGCTGTTGGAAGAATGAGTTCTAATTCCGTTTATTTACTGATTTCGTAATATTCGGTGGTCGAAGAATACGCTGTCACAAATCTAATGTGCCATTAATCAATGGAACGCGTTTTTCTTAAACTTTATGAATAAAATTTTTAATCTACAAAGTTTGTGAAGACAGAAAAGTTTATGTTGTTGCTAGTATAAATAAAGAGTAACTGCTTTCCCTATAATTAGTAAATATCATCAGAACCGTTGTCCAATTTCGATTCCGTTGCATTTCACTTTCTTCGACAATGATCTCAATAACTCGGCAAAGAACTTATCTGTCAAAAATTCTATCGAAAGTTTAAGAAACAAGTTCTTATTATTCAGAATGTAGTTTTTTCAATATACGCAGAGAATGGAGAATAGAATTGTTCAACCAATTATAAAAAAGATCAGTTCAAACAAGAGAAGTCTTTTCAACTATCTACTCATAGCAGGATCTCGAGTCGTTGAAGGAGTTCTCAAGAAGATTATGAGAGGAACTGTTGAGAAGTTTTGAAGGTCCCTGGTAGAATACTCGAAAATGCTCTAAAACCAGTTATATGACTGCTACTTGGAAGTGATCTCATGGATTATCCAGTGAGTGCTCGAATAGGTTCTCGAAGGAGACATAGAATCTGTTAGGAAAGGACATTGATGAGTCATTGACTTAGTGTGTCTAGTGAAAGTTATTGATGAGGTTATCAAAGTAGAGTACAGGTATCCATACAAGAGGATTGTGAGTCGAGTTTTCGAGAGAATTGTAGAGGTACTTGTTAGAAGATGAGAGTAGCCTGTTGTCTGAGAATAATGCGAGTGTCAGTGTAAGTGTTCGTTGACTTTT